TTCCAAGCTCCCAAATTTCTAAATTCTCAAAGTTCCAAGCTCCCAAATTTCCAAGCTCTCAAATTTCCAAGCTCCCAAATTTCCAAGCTCTCAAATTTCCAATCACTCAAATTTCCAAACTCTCAAATTTCCAAACTCTCAAAATTCCAAACTCTCAAATTTCCAAACTCTCAAATTTCCAAACTCTCAAATTTCCAAACTCTCAAATTTCCAAACTCTCAAATTTCCAAACTCTCAAATTTCCAAACTCTCAAATTTCCAGTCTCTCAAATTTCCAATCTCTCAAATTTCCAAACTCTCAAATTTCCATCCCATCTCTCAAATTTCCAATCTCTCAAATTTCCCATCTCTCAAATTTCCAATCTCTCAAATTTCCCATCTCTCAAATTTCCAATCTCTCAAATTTCCCAACTCTCAAATTTCCAATCTCTCAAATTTCCAGTCTCTCAAATTTCCAAACTCTCAAATTCCCAAATTCCCAAATCCCCAAATTCCCAAATCCCCAACTCCCCAAATTCCCAACTCCCCAAATTTCCCAAATTCCCAAATGTAAAAAATTGCAAATTTCCACAGGTCCAAATTTCCAAATTTTCCAATACCCTTTCCTAATTCGCAAATGCAGTAATTCTATAATTTCTTCCTTTTGCAGCTTATCTTGTATCATTTCTCACGCGATCAGCTAAATGCGATACTAAAGAATCACGTGCGCAGTAAGACAGTTTTAATTATAGAAATTCAGAGAGTAAACAGCTGACTGTGAGTTTCGGCTGAATGTGGATACAACACGTGTTCACTCAATGTTATGATACATCGCGAAACATTAATTACAAGTCTGTAACTATAAGTCTATAGATGCGATACAATGATGCTACGTAAACATTACTATTTCTTTCTATTATAAAAAAAATGTTGCTACTGTTTAAGAAAAAAGAATGCAACATTCATCACAAGTTTATCTTAATATTTACATTACTTGTTACATTATGTGCTTTTGACGTAACCTAACACATTATATTTTATATTTTATAATTCTTTACTTATTATAAATAGTAATAGCAATTTTATAATTCTTTACTCATTATAAATAATAATAGCAATTTTATAATTCTTTACTCATTATAAATAATAATAGCAGTTTTATAATTCTTTACTCAGTATAAATAGTAATAGCAATGTTATAATTCTTTACTCAGTATAAATAATAATAGCAATTTTATAATTCTTTACTCATTATAAATAATAATAGCAATTTTATAATTCTTTACTCATTATAAATAATAATAGCAATTTTATAAATCTTTACTCCTTATAAATAATAATAGCAATATTAATATTGTTAACAATAATATTTTTCATGAGTGTATAAATACGAAATAAAAATCTGATACAAGACTGTGAATGTACAGCTCTTACTGTTGCTCCATGATGCACACGAGGGTTGATAATCAAAAAACAAGTAATTATTTCAATTTTCACTATGAAGTCCTCCTCAAACTCTTCACTGTTATTAAAAAAAAAATGGGAAACGAAAAATGCAACCGAACCTACACTTTGCTCTATCTCTTATTAACATGCAAATTATGCACACGTGTTTTGCATACACCTTCATGAATACACTCCATATCGCTAATTATTATAATTTTATCCAAGGTAACTAAAAACCAGGAACCACAAAGGCCACGTCGTGCAGCGAAGTGCAACAACGCGGAGTGCAACATGAAAATGTTCTCCAAATGAAATTTAAAGTCTATCTTTTACGATGCTGAAATGTTATCAGCACGAATGGAATTGTGTTCAAGTTTCTTGCAGACGTCTCGATACACAGACATTAGTAAAAAAAACTTGCTCTTTAAATTGTGGAACATAAAACGTAAAAATCACGAGATCACAACGTGCAACAGTAGTAAACTCCAAATCATGATACCAAAATGTTATTAGAATGAAATTTAATTGCAGACGAATTTCGATCACAACTTCATAGAATGTAGGGTAGTATCACAGATGTTTTTCAAGGGAAATGAAATTTCGACGACGGAAAAAGGCAGAGAACGCGTATGTACCGTAAACTGGCGGCGAGCCAACGAGACCTTCCAAACAGAAGCACGAACAACACTGACGAATGGAAAGTTGACGAGAGTTTACTTGCCAAACGGATGGTGGCCCTTATCGGCCCCCGTCTCGGCTCTGCTCCCTGATAATAGTGGTTCAACCAAGAGCGAGATAACGTGCGTGTGTTGAACGCGTATTACCGAAATCGAGATCCATGGCTTTCAAGACTTCTCATTGATCTAAAGTGGAGATCGAAACAAACACTTAACGTCCTTAAAAATATTTGGTTCTTTTATGGTGGTCCGATGGGTTCGGAAGTTTGGGTGGACGTTGCAACTTGAGTTGCATGGCATGGACTGCAAATTTGCATTTTTTTGGCGTTTGTGTTAAATGATAGTTTAATTCAATTTTAAGATTGAGGTTAAGTAGAATTTATGTGGCTTTAAGGAAAGATTGAATGGTTTTGAAAATTGGATATTTTGGAATCTTTAGAAAAGATTGTAGTGGTTGAAGAATAAATTGTTACTCATGAAAGTGTTGTATAAAATATATATTAAATATTGTGTAAAAATATTGTATAAAGTATATATTAAATATTGTGCAAAAATATTGTATAAAGTGTATATTAAATATTATATAAAAATATTGTATAAAATATATATTAAATATTATATAAAAATATTATAAAAAATATATATTAAGTATTATATAAAAATATTGTACAAAATATACATTGAATATTATATAAAAATATTGTATAAAATATACATTGAATATTATATAAAAATATTGTAAAAAATATATATTGAATATCATATAAAAATATTGTAAAAAAATATATATTGAATATTATATAAAAATATTGTAAAAAAATATATATTGAATATTATATAAAATTATTGTATGAAATAATATATTTAAGTATTCAATTGCATTAAATATTTTATAATCTTGCAATATCTATATCTATTATATTAAACAAAAATAAATAATATTCTAAAAAGACAATTTGCCAAGAAAGTAAACGCAATTCCATAAAGAAAAGACTTGTCAATATAGAATTGATTTGCTAAACTGAAAAATTGCAGTTCGTAAAAGCAATTCGTTTGCATCTCTCGGTTGCAGTTATCAGTAAAGTGAAGACATAAGAAAATAAAGGTTTCCATATCATTCATTTCTCTCAACAATCTCCTTTTATCTGTAACCAAACTTGAGATATAGTTCGTACTCGCTGCGTGACTCACCCTGTATGAAGAAGACTTCAAGGCAAGTCATTCAAATCTAAGAAGCTGGCAAATTCTTTGAAATGAAATTATGAATTATGGGAGAAATGTAGTTTCTTTTCTAAATTATCAGATAACAAGAAAGGAAATTTTAGTTTACTTAAAAATAATTCTTTGTTTAAGGTTAATTGTAAGAATCAATAAGTTCAATCATTTTTTAAAAGTACCATAAACTGTCATTTTTTTATACTTGTTTAAAATTAACTTTGACTTATTTTTTAAGAATAACTATCTTCAATTACAGTGTACCTTAATTTTTTAACACAAACAAAATTAATTGTAGTAATGATATTTTTGAATTTTCATGTGAAAATGTGTCCTACAGATTTTCATCGCATTCTTAAACTTTTGTATTAACGATAAGATTCTCAAAGTGGAAACTTATGATTTGAAAAGCAAACATGTTAAACATGATAATTTTATCGTACATTCTCTCCCTCGTCTCGCGATAAAAATTACGAAAATAGCGATTATAAGAATGCAATCGTTGAATGCAACTAATCGAAGAAATGTCCATAAAGCAAACACGCGTAAGATTACAGGGGCCCGTCCTTGACATGCGTCGTATCTGGTCTGGATCAAAATATTTAAATGTAACATATGTACTTGTATCTGATTCAGCGTTTAAAATTAATGACCAATCGTGGAACGATGTATAGGGTGGCCCATTATAAAATGTTGGCTAATTCGTTTGGTACAGTGAGTCACAGAAGTATTGAATCACTGATAGTCACATAAGCGCCGTAGTTTCCCTGTTTGCGCTATAGTTTGCCTATTTCCTTCAAAAACTTCAATAGTCTTTACAAAATTTTATCTCGATAGAAATATTTCGAATGTACAATAATTGATTGTATTCTAATTTAAAATAATTGGGAACAAAACATGTGAAGTACGATAATTTTATTGCCTTAAATTATTAACAAAAAATATGTCTTAATTTAACATTGGACATTGATAGTTTTATTAATGTGAAAACTGATTTTATTATTGTGAAGCTTGCACCCTAATAAAAAATATTACTGTCCAAAAATATTAACAATAATACTTCAATAATTATACATAAAAAAGAAAGAGATCTCATATTTTATTTACAACTAAAAGAAACTTATAAATCGCGGACGATATTTTTAAAATTCAAATTTAAATTTTAGATCATAAGCGGATGTGGCGCTGCAGTAAGCGCCACAAGCAACAGTGGATTCGAATAACCTCATGTGGTGCATTGTTTCGTTAACCTTTGCACCACCTTTAGAGAATTATTTCGAAGAAATCATTAGTAACAAAGTATCAAATGTTCACTTTTTAGGTTTTTCTTATTTGTAAATTGTAAAATAAATAAGATATAATGTCGATGCTCGCAGAGAGGCGTCAGAAACAGAAATGGACACTGAACCCTCGAGGAAAACACTGGAGCGAAGGTATATAAATATTTGAATTTACTTTGGTTCATTGAATGAAACATTGTGTAGGTATTTTGTAAATTTGATTCTTAATTATATTATTTACTAGATGGAAACAAATTTGGGCAGAAAATGTTGGAGAAAATGGGTTGGTCGAATGGCAAAGGACTTGGAGCTAATGAACAGGGTATGACGGAGCATGTACGCGTCTCTGTTAAAAATGATAAATCAGGTAAATAAATTGGGTAAAAATATTAAAATTGAAGTTAGAAATCTTAGATAGTTTTTATACTTACCTAATCTTTATATTGGATGCTGTAACTCTTGACACGATAATTTGTTTTTAAGGTATCGGTTTTAAAAGAGATACTGTAGATGAAGCTTGGACAGAACATCAAGACAGCTTCAACGACTTTTTACAACAGCTTCACACTGCTCCCTGTGATAATATAGTGCAAATAGAAGAAGCAAATGCTGAATTAAGTGGAAAGTCATTGGAGTTGAAATCTAAGCAAAGTCGTGCTCGTGTTCAGTAAGTAATTTATTTTGTATACTATAATATAATTGTTCGTATAAAATATATTTATATCTCTGAATTTATTATTACTAGCTATCAAAAATTCACGAGGGGTAAAGATGTAAATAAGTATAGCACAAAAGATTTAGCAAATATATTTGGTCAGAAAGAAATGAATTTAAATAAAAGTAGTAAAGTAGAAAATGATAGTACAGAGGAGAGCACTGTTGATATTCAGGATAATAGAGGTGGTGTTATTACCATAAATGCTGGTAGTATGACTGATTATTTTATGAAAAAGGATAAAGACTTTTCTTTAACATATAAACATAAAAAAAGATCAGAGTCAGAGAGTGAACCAGAATATGCAGGGTTTGGTTTTGCATCGTCAGTCAATAAAGTACAATATCATAGTGAAGAAAATAAAGAATCAAAAAATGTAAGCAATTATGCATTTGAAAATCCTTGTATAGATTTAAACAGTCCTGAACCTGCTTCAAATACTAGTAGTAAAGTTGGATCACTTAAAAAACGGAAATCTATTGATGAAACTGAATTAAGTTCAAATCATGATGCTAAAAAATTTAAACAAGATAACATAAATAGTAGCAAGTATGAAAATGGTATAGTAAATGATGCACTGAATTTAGATTGTCAATCAGATGATGTTTATAATGGAAAAGAATTTGAAGTGTCAAGGGTACAATTTGGTGTTGCAAATTCTGCATTAGATTTAAGTGATGAAGCTGATAAGAAAAGGGTAACATTTAATGATCGTGTGGAATACAGTGATGATACTATAAAGAAAAAGAAAGGTAGAGCTACATTGGATAAGTTTGAGGTTGAGAACAAGAAGGCTAAAAAAAAGAAGAAACAAGACACAGTTAACAATTCTGTATCATTTGGTTTTGTTAATGAAGCTTTAGAGCTTGAAGACAAGCCTGAGGAGATTAATGATAACGAAATTAATGAACGTAAAAATAAGAAGTCTAAAAAAAGAAAAGAAAGTCGTCGATCTAATTTGGAAACAATAGTAGAGACACCAGAAGAAGATAAAGAAATTCTTGAAGAGAACATAGAGAGTATGGAGACAAATGAAAATACACCAGATAACAGTGTACCTGAAGAAAATACGACTCGTAAAAAAGCGAAGAAGAAAAAGAAAGAAAAAGTAAAGGAAGTTGTTGATAATGGGATAAATATAGAAGAAAATATAGAAAATGAAGTAGTCATGGAAACAAATTCGCAAGGGGAGAAAGGGCAAGATGAACTTCACACAGATCAAGAAAATGTTTCTAAAGAAAAAAGAAAAAAAAGGAAGAAAACGAAACATGTTGAATCAGATGTAGGACATGAAAATACTATCTCTGAAACTGATATAAAAGATAGTAACAAAACGGACGAAAATACAGAAAAGATCGAAGAAGTTATAAAGATTAAAAAAAATAAAAAGAAAAAGAAAGATGCAAATGTGAATGATAGTAATATGGAAGTAGAAATTGAACAAAAGGAGAAAGAAAATATAGATAATGTAGATGAAAATACGTTGAAAGCGACCAAGGCAAAAAAGAAGAAGAAACATAAACATTCAATAGACGAGTCTGTTACAGATAATAATAACTGTACACATAATGCAGAACTAACAGAGGAAAATCCGAGCTCTGAAGTAACGAATACACCTGTAAAAAATCATACTAACAAAACATTTAAAACTGTATCTAGTCCTTGGCATGAAAAAGCTAAAATGTCAAAGAAAATATTAAAATCTCTTTTTTATAGGAACTCTGTTGTACAATTTCCAGGCTCTAATATAGATGAAATTAAGGGATATGGAGCAGATATACAGTGACAAAGTTTATAAAAATTTCAATATATTCCTAACGTTTTATATGTATATAATATGGATTATAATTTTGTATAATTATATACAATATTTTGAAACAATATTTATTATTAAATAATAATGTACATTCTGTACATGTACAGAATTTTATTTATTTATTCAGAATGAAACATGTATTACCAACATTGGTAGTAATAAAATTTGTTTACAACTTTGGTGTTGTCACTATTTTTTAAAGCATATTTACAGAGTAATGTAATGGTAAACATTGTTGCCACTGCATAGTACCTTTGTTTCTAATTTAAGATTCTGCAATATTATCTTCTATTTTTATAATGTCATCCAGTTCTAGAAGTTTACTTTTCAATTTGTTTACCATTTCCAACTGTTCCTCACTCAATTCAACAACAGAATTGGGTATACATGTATCTTCTGTTAACACTACAAAGTAACCCAGGCGTGTTAATTGATTTTGCACCTTATCGGGAAAGAGGAACTCGCATTTAAACTGTAACAAACAGTAATTGATACAAATTTTGTCACAAAAATTAAAGAAATCATGAATAAATTATTAATACCTTAAAATATGTTTTATCATTTTCTTTTAATTCTTCTACATCTTCTGCTCCTGCTTCTATTGCATCTTCCATTGCTTGATTAAAGTTACAATCTTTCACAGCTAGAATATAAGTTCCACAGTCAAACATTGACAATGCTGTATCTGCAAGTGTAGATCTGTAATTACCAATTTCTATTTAAAGACACGTTAATAAATTTCTATTGTACAATAACACCTAAAAGCATACAAGTATACTTACTTAGATTTTCTAAGTATATTATTAAGTAGGGCCTTGAAACCACCTGGATTATTAGTTGCATAGTGCAAAAGTAATGTACATCCTGAAGAAGTACGAATCGGCATTATCTTTGTTGGGGCTTGTGCTTTTGGAGTCTTCATTTTATTTAGAAATGTGTTTATAGTGCTTAGTGGCATATTAACTTTCTTTGCTTGATCGATTAAATTTGCTAATTTAGAGTTGAGTAATGGATCCGCACTTCCCTCTTCTGTAAATTTTATGATGAATTACACTTTCGTGTCAGCAGCTGTAGACTATTTCATTCAGGTATAAAACAAACAAAATTTATTGAGAAAATTATATACGTATCTACTGCAATAAATTTACATACACATTGTAACTTATTTTATTCTTCTTTATTATATTAAAAAACACTGGTACCATATTTTATACCTCTTACTGCAACTGTCATTTTAGAAATAAGGGTTTTGAACAATTGTCCTCTTGTTCTATCATTTTCTTCTTTAATATGTTTAATATTATGCCATTTGCTATGTCCTGCATATCGTCTGGTTCCATTAATAACAAAATTTGTATGCAAGCAGTAAATCAAATTGTTTAACCGATATTTCATTGTTTATAAAATAGGTTACACAAATAGGTTATGTTCTGTATAAGTTCTTAACTAGGGAAGTTTGAGATATAATGTTGGTAATAAAGTTAAAAATTGATTTGCTTCTGATAACAAAACAGACTCTCAAAAATGTATTTTTAGTTTTTCTAAAATAGAAATGTAACTTGTTTTTGTAGAATATAATTATTATTATATTTATGTCAAGTGTTATATAAATATAAAGACAAGAGTCATTGCATAAATTTGGTCATTCAAATAAAAGATAACATTCTTTATCTGATGTTCATGTTGTCAACAATATTTAAAATAACAGTGGCAAAGTAATGAAAACAAAATCCCTATTGTCAGGTAAGGTTAATATCTTAGAATTACGTCGCGGTTTTCTCAAATATTTTTTATTCAAGACTTTGATAAATTTTTGAATCTTTGCTTGATAATAATTTTGTCAGTACAATATTAATTTTAAAGGATTTATAATAATTATCACTTCGAATCGTAGAAGTGATCAGGACTAAATTAAAATTCTTAGAGTCCAAATTTATACTTCTATACTTCAATAGTAATTTGAAATATAATTGCATCAAATTATTCTTGTATTTAAAAAGAACTAGGTCTCCTCCAGTCTCCACTCGTTTTTCAACGAGAATTTAGCGAAATGTTAAAGCATCAGTCGATACGATTTTAAATTGCACAACCGATTCAAAGTCCAACGGGTGATATCACCAATGGAATATCATTCAGATTCCAATTGTGCTTGATGTCTATTATTCCATTACGCCATTATCGCAACGAGTACTGCTTGACTTGTAACCAGATATGTACACTTGAGTTTACGGAGGTTAACGATATGGACAAATAGCGTCCAATGGAAAATGATTTATTATTGCCACTGTACAGAGCTTTTGAGTTAATTAATTTGTTCGTTAAGGCTGGTGGAGTTGATGTCGGGTCCTTTTGCCATTGTACACCAAATATAGCATACATAGAATGCATTGTGCACGTGTACATGGTAGATTTCTCTAGGGGTAGATCCCACTTGTTAGTTTTTGATTAGTCAGTTTTTACATGGGAAATTACTGACACAGAATTAAGGGCTATGTAATTTTTATTTATTTAAAAAATAGACTGTCTTAATTTTAAATACATTTGGTTCAGTATTAGATTTCTAAGTTTTACTCCATGCAACTTAAATTGCATTTAATGATGTATATAATAATTATTTTTTAGTATTATTTTTTCAGTGTTATTTTGTTCGCAAAAAAAGTTTGATGTCATTTAACTTTACACATCTAGACAAATAAATAGCAATTGTTTTCCACAAAGAATATTTCAACATATTTCGCCGATAGAAGTTATCTGAAAAAAAGTCGAGCGGTTAATTTATCTGGACAACACTCGACTTTATACGAGCGATTTTGGCACCAGATTTTTTTGGCATCTTTTCATTGCGCCACAAATCATCCTTCATAGCGAATTGCATACAATAAAAGCTACTTTTCTTTGCTGCATTTCTTCTCGTAAACAGTCGTCTTTTTTTATGTTGCACAAGCGGATAAATTCTTCCAAAAGTGTTTCGTAACTTCACTATCCTACCTTTTTTATTTCCACAAACATTCCAGTTATGAAATAGATACGAGTTCATCAAAAATTTCAACAAAAATAATTTTAGTTCAAGCATCTTCGTTTTTCTTCTAAAAGCGATATATTTAAGGAAATATATAACAAGTATGGATCTAGGATTACAAGTATCGGAGGATACAGTGATCCCGGATTATAGGTACTTGAGGATATAGGGAACTGAGATTATAGGTATCTAAGGATATGGGGATCTGAGATTATAGGTACCTAAGGATATAGTGATCTGGGATTACGGGGATCAGGAAGTGCAGTAATTTGAAGATGCAAAGATGGGGTTATTGAGATTTGGGAATATAGGAATCTGGTGTTACGTGGAGCTAAGAATGTAGGGATTTGGGGAGACAAGGATCTGAATTTATGAAGACTTGGTTTATGTGTGTTTGGAGTCGTATGGATATAAGTTCATAGTGATTTTGAAATGTAGACATTTGATGAGGATGTGGAGATGTAGATTTGAGGTTATAGGGACGGGGGTGTGGAGATTTGGGTGTTTAGGAATTTGGGAAGGTAGGTGTTTGGAGGCGTAATGGTTTGGGTGTTTAGGAATTTGGGAAGGTAGCTGTTTGGAGGCGTTGGAGTTTGGGTATTTAGGGATTTGGGAAGGTAGGTACTTGGAGGCGTAGTGCTTTGGGTATTTAGGGATTTGGGAATGTGGAGATTTGGATATTGAGGGATTTGGAAATATAGACATTTGGCAATGTAAGGATTTGGGGATACAAGGGTTCGGAAATGTAGGGATTTGGGACGACAACGATTAGGGAATGTAGAGATTTGAATATTGATGGATTTGACTTGAGATCTGTGACCTAGAAGAAGGTAGGTGTTTGGAGGCGTAGAGGTTTGGGTATTTAGGGATTTGGGAAGGTAGGTGTTTGGAGGCGTTGGAGTTTGGGTATTTAGGAATTTGGAAATATAGGTGTTTGGAGGCGTAGAGATTTGGGTATTTAGGAATTTGGGAAGGTAGGTACTTGGAGGCGTAGTGCTTTGGGTATTTAGGGATTTGGGAATGTGGAGATTTGGATATTGAGGGATTTGGAAATATAGACATTTGGCAATGTAAGGATTTGGGGATACAAGGGTTCGGAAATGTAGGGATTTGGGACGACAACGATTAGGGAATGTAGAGATTTGAATATTGATGGATTTGACTTGAGATCTGTGACCTAGAAATACTGTAATGCAAGCATCTACTAATCTATCAACCAGAGGACGTAGAAACCCAAGCACCCAATACACAACACACTAATTCAAAAATGTAGATATCCAATACAAGAATCTAGAAACATCTGAAAATGAACCCAATGACACACAGATCAGAAGTCCCTGCACCAGCTACCAAACTCCTAAAACACCCCACATCCAAAACAAACAATTCCAATTTTCATCCACACCCAAAAACAACCTACCTTTCATCTCCCCACTCCAAAAAGCAATCCCCGCAATAGTACATCAGAAAAATAAATACGAACCGCGAAAGAACGTTTGTTCCACATAGTAGCGATCGATCGTGCAACTCGCCCAACACTTTCGCCAACGAATTCTAAATTTAGTCATCCTGGTGGTCATTCTTTTTAATTACCCTTCAACGACTTCACGTCGGCACGGTGATCTAACCGTGTTAACTAGACGCCGGATGGTTCCTTTGACACACCAGGTATAGAGCATGTTCAGCATGTCGTTGCCTTTAATTCACGTACGCCCGTCGCTTTCTGGACGGTTAACCGGACAGAGAGGCGGGTTTTAATAAATTTTGCACGGAGAGTTCACCCTCTACTCTCCATTCCTATTAAGATGTATATATTCTTGCTCGTATAAAGCCTGTTGGGTACTGGTGTCAGAGAGGGTTGGAGGGACGTGTTCGAGGGCGAACTTTTTATCGCGAAAAGATGTTCGCGTGATTGGTGGACCGAAATTTCAATATTTGCTGTGTCGTTGGCTTACGGGAAATTTGTCGCGAAAATAGATCGGTGGGTGCGCTTCTTTTGACAGGTTAGGGACGTAAACAGGGTTTGATTAGTGGTTTATTTTTGGTGGTTGGGGATTTGGGTTTTGGAGGGAGGTTTAATGGGATTTGGGGGAATTGGGAGTGGGGAATTTAGGGGTGGGGATGTGGGGATTTGGAAATTGGGGAATTTGGGAATTTAGGGGTTGGGGATTTGGGGATTTGGGATTTGGGATTTGGGGATTTGGGGATTTGGAAATTGGGGAATTTGGGAATTTAGGGGTTGGGGATTTGGGGATTTGGGATTTGGGATTTGGGGATTTGGGGATTTGGAAATTGGGGAATTTGGGAATTTAGGGGTTGGGGATTTGGGGATTTGGGATTTGGGATTTGGGGATTTGGGGATTTGGAAATTTGAGAATTTGGAAATTTGAGAGATTGGAAATTTGAGAGATTGGAATTAGGAGAGTTTGGAAATTTGAGAGATTGGAATTTTGAGAGTTTGGAATTTTGAGAGGGAAATTTGAGAGATTGGAACTTTGAGAGTTTGGAATTTTGAGAGAATGGAAATTTGGGAGATTGGAAATTTGAGAGCTTGGAACTTTCAGAGTTTGGAAATTTGAGAATTTGGAAATTTGAGAGTATGGAACTTTGAGAGCTTGGAAATTTGAGAGCTTGGAAATTTGAGAGCTTGGAAATTTGGGAGCTTGGAAATTTGAGAGATTGGAACTTTGAGAGTTTGGAAATTTAGGAATTGGGGATGTGAAAATTTGGGAATTTATGTAGTGGGAACTTTGGAAGTGGGAATTTCGAACTCGAGAAACTTCCCAACAAAATATTGCAATTCTCCAAATTCAAAAAAATGTAAAAACCACTTAATAAACCTCAAAGTGTAAAAATGAAACAACTGTAAAATACGTAGCACACAATATAAGAAAGTGTAGAAAATTTATAAGTGAAGTGTTTTACGATACCCGCCATCAAATACTCATTAACGATTTAAGGTTAGTTAGTGGCCCCGCCCTCGTGGAAATAATTTTGCTTTTCGTCACGTTATCCCGTCGTAATTAAAAGACTTCAGGAACCGGGATCTAATAAATCTTGTGACTCACGTTGTCTTTCCGCCCTGATTCTCACCGGATCACACTTTAATCCCTCTTCGTTTCGCGCGTCTCTTCTTCTTTCGCCACCCTACCTGACGTTTTCTTCTTTTCTTCTTCTATCTCTATTTTTGTCCTTTGTATTTCTGTCGTTGTATGATGTTCGTTAGCGAATAACTTCTTTTCAACCGATGTAGAAACTTCTAACGAATGGTTGCGTCATCGTGAACTCGAAGCTGGAGGTGTTGCCGGAAACAATGTTCCGTTTCGAGGTATGTATGGGGCCGAAAGATTTAAACAATGGGTTCTAAAGTATTTTCTACTTGAATTTGGTCAAGTGTGTAACTTGTGTTTTATCTTGAACGATTTAACATTTGGAAATTTGGA